AGTTTGAGCGCAAATTTGACGTTCAAAACTCCTGATTTGGGGGTGGATACGCTTTCAGAATTAGTTTTTTTTTAAATATTAAATAACGACAATGAAAAATAAAGGAAAAATTATACAGTAATCTAATTAGATGGCTAGGAACATATTTCACAAAAGAAATTTGTCAATAAATTTGTCGATGCTAAAATTGATTATTTCGTTTTCATTATTATATTGAATTTCTAATTTTCTTTGAATTTATTCGCAGATTTCCTCAAATTCTTTAAATGTTGTCTTTTAAATAATAATTATAGAAAATCTGCGAACATCTTTGTGAATAACAAGAAACTAGAATAATGAGAAACTAATAATTGAACAAGATTACTTATTTTCGATGATAAGATTGATTTTTATTTTCTCAAAATGTTCCTAAACATGACGTCTGTAGTTTATTGTAGAATATTTTTACATTTTATGTCGTCATTAATTAATAATTTAAAAAAAATTAATTCTGAAAGCATATCCACCCCTAAATCAGGAGTTTTGAACGTTGAATTTGAGCTCAAACTCAGGATTTACAGACTTTTAAAAAGTGAAATATGTCTCAAATGAATCCTAAAGAAGTTTTCCACAATACTGCATACTCAGTTCAACTACCTTACATAGCTGGTCACTCCCTTTAAAGAATACTGAAAAAATTTAAAATTTAAGAATAAAAAGGTAAAAAAAAATATGTTACCCATAGCTGACCAAAGGGCTGGACCTAATTGGCTATTTTTTTTTTTTGGGGGGGGGAACCCATTAGTACCCGGAGGTGATATAGGCTAAAATTAATGGAATTTTTTTACCGAGCAATGCCGGGCACTTCAGCTAGTCTATACTAATTAAATACAAATTCGACAAAAATTGTATGTTATTTATTTTTTAACTATATGCTTTTCGGAGCAGCATGAATTCTGTGTAAACTTAAACATGCAGGGGGTCTAAGTTCGACCTTAAACAAATAAAGTTTAGTTTAAAATGCTAAAATGATAAATCTTTCTTTCGAGTTTAATTCAATACCAAGGCAACTTACCAGAGAGCACAAACTTTCAACAACTTGTTTCACATCTTTCACAGAATTTGCATTCAATGAAGGGACTGTACGTGTAATTCAAGAATGGCATGCCCTATACACAGCGCACCTCTGAGATATCGCATTTTTCTAAAGAATAAGAAATTTAAAAAGACTAGGCTTTTAGGGCGCTTCACGCCCATCTTCTAATTCAGTTGTAAACATGTTATCCTTGTAACATTGAAAAACAAAGAAAAAAAATTTCGCGGATTTTCAAGATTTTAAAGTTTTACAAAAAAAAAAGACTTTTAAGCACAAATTTTTAAAATTTTGATCATTCATAAACCTTCCCCCCTGGGGTCACGTGAGATCCCACACAAAATTTGGTCCCGATCGGTTCAGCCATTTTGACGTTTAATGGATACAAACGGACAGACAGACAAGCCAAACTTATTCATTTAAGAAAAAAGTTTTTAGAAAAGATTTCTTTCTTGATTATTTTTAATTTGCGTCAAATCTTGGATTTTCTAGTTTTCTTTTATCTAAAATGTTTAGAGAAAAACTAATCAACTTCTTCACACAAAATAAACCTATTCTCAGAACAATTTTTTCTTAAAAACATTTGTATTGAACATAAATTATTTCTATAAATCGTTCAAATATTGTGGGGTTTCTTAGAGGCCAATTATGGGAAAAATATATTTTGATCTCATGCTTCTGTAAGCGTCTAAAATAAAATGGCACAAAATATTAATATAAATTTTTGATTAAAGTAATTTTTTGTCTTTTCTTTCAGTCAATATGTCAAAATACTTTTATCGCCAACATCTTTATTTTCCCGATACAAATCAGACTTTTCAACTTAGATTTTTTAAAGCAAGTAAAAACGTTTCTATGGTTTTACCTTATGGTTATACCAATCTAAATATGAGGCCAATCGGCCAGGAGGTATTTAGTTTATTATTGAACATACAAACAATATACACTTCAAACATATAAATATTGAATACATTTATTTCGTAGGAAAAATATATGTTTTTAACATTTATTTTTAAATTTAAATTTTTTAAAACAAATTTTTAAAAGAGTAGTACATTTTTTCTCTGGCTGTTGCATCTTTTTTTAGCTGATCAAATATATATATTCTGTTCCTCTCTCGTAAATCTACCGGTAGGGTTGTTAATCGTTTTTGAAAACGATCGTTTTTTGTTTCGTTTTTCAATCGTTTTGAACTTTTAGAAAACGAATAACGATCGTTTTTGATAACGATCGTTTTTATAAAAACGATTTATACGATTGTTTTTTGAAAAACGATCACTCTTGAAAAAACGAGCGTTTTTGAAAAAAAATTATATTGATAATTATTTTAACGATCGTTAACGAAGGGTCGTCGTTACCGATCATTAACGAAGGGTTGTTGTTAACGATCGTTAACGAAACGACATAATTTATAAAAACGGTCGTTTTTGGAAAACGACCGTTTTTGAAAAAAAATACATGCAATTTAATTGAATGTCGTCTTACGTGTAGTTAAACAGTTGTTGGGGAGCTAAAACTTCTTGATATTTTCTTAAAAACTAATCAATGATTAGTACTAATGACCTTTGGGTCGGTTTCCTCTCTTCGTTAACGATCGTTAACGAAGGGTTGTCGTTAACAATTATCAACGAAGGGTTGTCGTTAACAATCATTAACGAAGGGTCGTCGTTGACGATCATTAACAAAGGTTCATCGTTAACGATCGTTAACAAGGGGTCGTCATTAACGATCATTAACGAAACGACGATTTTTATAAAAACGATTATTTTGAAAAACGATCATTTTCAAGACGATCGTTTTGAAAACGACAATTTTTAAAAAACGAACTTAAAAAAACGATCGTTTCGTTTTCGATATTTCGTCGTCGTTTTCATAAGGAAACGATCGTTTTTAAAAAAAAAATAAAACGTTAACATCACTAGTTCTACTTAAACAAGGGAAAAATTCATTTTGACATTTATTTCTACTTTTCTTTCTCCCTAATATTACGCATATTGCCCAGAGCTGCAGATCTCTTTTTTTGAAATTTTCTTTTTCATACTATTCTTCAATTTCCGAGGAAAAATATATATTTATTTATTAAGTTTAAGGAATATCTCGATCTATCTTAAACGATTCTAGATGTGTATACAAAATATAAATTTAAAGGGACCGTTAGGGTAAAAGGAAAAGGGCTGAAGCCTAAAAAGATTAGGAGTTGATTAGTTCTTTCTAATGTCGCTGTCTCAAGAAATTTAAAAAAAAAAAACATGTATCAAAATTATACCAAATATAAATAAGTTATAATCGAATCATATTCAGCATATATGAAACAAACCTGAAAATTAGAATAAAACTTAGGTGACAGAACTAATAATGGTCGCGATCTCTCCTAAAATTTGTAGGCTTCAGCCTATACCCCTTTTCATTTTACCTTAACAGCCCCTTTAATACTCTTTGTAAGATTCACATTACACAATGGAAAATCTGAAAATTCATCAATATTTTAAACATCGAAAATCGAAAATGGAGCAGATTGAATTCTTGATTAACGTTTATATTTTTTTTAGCATTTTAATTTCTTTACATTTTAAAAGCAAAATTAAATCCAAGCTTTTCCATGTCACATTTTGCAAGATAAGAGTCTTTAAAATGATATATAAGATTTTAAATATATATAATGCAAATATATAAATATATATTTCAATCTAGGTTTTATGTACATCAAAGCAAAGGTTCAATATTAGACGGAAATGGGAATTGAAATAAGAAATAGCTCTTATTTAAAGGGACTGTACACGTAATTTGTTCTTATTTAAAAGGACTGTTCACGTAATTTGTTCTTATTTTAAGGGACTGTACACCTAATTTGTTCTTATTTAAAGGGACTGTACACGTAATTTGGTCTTATTTAAAGGGACTGTACACGTAATTTGTTCTTATTTAAAGGGACTGTACACGTAATTTGTTCTTATTTAAAGGGAATGTACACGTAATTTGTTCTTATTTAAAGGGACTGTACACGGAACTTGTTCTTATTTAAAGGGACTGTACACGTAATTTGTTCTTATTTAAAGAGACTGTACACGTAATTTGTTCTTATTTAAAGGGACTGTACACGCAATTTGTTCTTATTTGAAAGGACTGTAAACGTAAATTGTTCTTATTAAAGGGACTGTTCGCGAAATTTTAAGTGACCCTCCATGCAAAGATAGTAATGCCCTTTTTACAACAGCACCCTTGTAAACCTTTTTCTGATTTGGAAAGTGGTATTTCTGTGAATATCTTCAATTGTAAATAAGCGAGAAATGGGCAAATCATGTTTACATCTTCAGAATATACAGTTTATATACAGTGATAGCCAGAAACAAATGGAATAGGAAGACGACATTGTAACAATAATTAAGTGTATTTGACTTGATTATAAAAGTCGTCTTCCTATTTCAGAGTTTTCTGGTTATCACTGTAACAAAATCATGCATTTATAATTCATACCTGATCAGACGTAAATACTGTCGTAAATCGGGCATTGCCATCTTTTCACGGAGGGTCACTTGAAAATCTTGTTTTAAGGAAGTTTTTGAAAGCCAGAATGTCCAGGTCTCTTAATTGCTTATATCTTAATAGCTGATTTTTTGGTATGCATAAATACAAATATCTATATATAAATTTGGTTTGTCTGTCTGGATGTCTGTTTGTTTGTATCCAATAAACGTCAAAACGGCTGAACCGATCGGGCCCAAATTTTTTGTGGGACATCTAGGGACCCCAGGGAAGGTTTATGAATGNATTTCATCTCATTTAAAATAAACAAATATCTATCCTAACTCTTGTTCTAAAAAAGTTTTTGAAAGCCAGAATGTCGAGATCTCTTAATTGCTTATATCTTTATAGCTGATTATTTGGTATGCATAAATACAAATATAATATAATATTTAATTTCAGATTCTATGTAAAAAATGGCTTTAAGTTTCTCTTTACTATTCCTAATGGTCCTTTCCCCCGCACTCATAAGTTCCAGTAATACAAAGGTTTCTTCTATCAAAATTCTTTTATAAAATCAATGTACAGTGAGAACTATAAACTCTGGAATATAAAGACGACATTTAGACTCAATTTATGTCTTTAAATAGTACAATATGAACATGAGACACAGCAATTGTGCCCATTTTACTTAATAAGGAGCTTAATAAATTCCTAGTAAAAGTTAAAACTATATATCATAGATATACAAAAATATAGATCACTAATGCAGACTGTAAAGCTGAAAATTGTACTTATACCCCTTGTTCATCATGAACTCGGCATTTGAAAAGGTCATTTACTTTTCGGGGTCAATCTGTAGAGCATATTTTTTACTAATTTATCCTTGTATATCTATGCTATATATTTATCAAACAACATCAAATAATACACTTGTTATATTCTTTATACTCCACAGTTTTCTTTCTTGTTCTTTCTGTATATTTTTAGTTGTCAATAGTTGTTCTCTTTCGTCTATTTATCAACATTCAATTTTTATTCAGAGTGAATTTTTAGGACACACACACACATAGCAGAAACTCAATGTTGAAGCATTTTAAGAATTTGTGTTAGGTTAATATAAATATTTCCATACACTAAGTACAATGTTCATTTTTTAAACTTCCAGGAAATCAACCTGAAAACATTTCTGCTATACCTGCTTTCCTTACGTTGGCATTCAGTTGAACACATATTTGTAATTTGTATGCTCAACCTATTAAATTTTAGCGGAAAAATAAATCATTACTAGATTAAATTAGATTTAAACATCTATAAGCTTAGAACCCATGGCTTTACCTCGAAACTAATTTTCCACTAAAATAGTCAAACCATTTAACTTGGAATTCAATACCACGTTAAGTACATTGCCGTGGTTCTATAACCAATCAAAATTTGAGGCATATCGTTAAAGGTTCCAGAATTATGATCAGCATATAAATGAGAGACACGATTACTTCTTTGTATATATTGGTTCTTTTTGTCCCAATAACTAATTATCACTAATGTAATAAACTATAAATCTTTGATTTTTACTTTCCCAGGATTCCTGGATAATTCCTCGTTCTAACTCTATCTCACAAACAGACAGGTAGCAATATAAATAATATCAAATAAATGAATAAATGAATAAATGAATAAATGAATAAATGAATAAATGAATAAATGAATAAATGAATAAATGAGAAAATGAATAAATGAATAAATGAATAAATGAATAAATGAATTAATGAATAAATGTTTAGAGATTATTTTAACATAATACAAACAGAAGATGGAGTATCACAGTATTTTATTCTTAAAGAGGTAAAAATGCAATACATGTCATATAAAATAGTCAAAACTTATTCCAGAATCTAATTTTCATCAAATTTTGCTAAGTGAAATTGATATTTTTTTGATTTATTTAAATAAGCTAATTTTAAACATGCTTTTTAAAAGTCTCAGTCAGCCATTTTTAATTTTAGTTTACAACATTTCAAAAAAATAATTTGTACACGAAAAATCTTTGAGTCCATAGTGATTTATGTATTGCTTTAAAGCAAATAAGAAACAGTTAGAAGCTACTTTACATTATTGGAATATTGCTCAATACTTTTTATTTCATTTTACCCAAAAAAAGTGTTCTTAAGCTCTGGTCCCTGTCAGAATTAACTTTTACGTAAAAAGATAATATTGATATTATCGATTTTTGTTTGAACATTTTTTACTTTACACTAAAAGGAATGTAAACATGATTTAAAGTGAACTTATAAATTCTAAGATGGCGTTGCACAATTCACAATGGTACCCTAAAAAGCTTTGTCTCATATATTATACGAAAAATTGAAAAATTGATTTTTTTTCTATTGAGGTTCCTCTACAAAAACAAACAAAGGTTTCAAGGCCGGTACGGTTGTGAATCGGCACTATCATATTTGCACTGAGGGTAACTTGAAATTAAGCTTACAGTTCATTTTCGTTCATAATTTAAATATTTTCGGGGGGAGTAAAAAAATACGGATTATCAATGTTTTGGACAAAATTTTCAAAATAATTATTTTATTTGGATTTTAGAAATAAATTTTCAAAATTTATTAAAAATTAAATGTATATAACAAAAATCCGAAAAAAATATAATGGAAATCTGCGGTAAATGTTATCTAATTATTACATTAGAACTATTATAACTTAAAGTACTAATTATTGCCATACATTTTTGTTTTTCTAACTATAAAATCTTCAAAAAAGTTTTAATATGAAAAGTTTATTTTATGTGAAGCCACTATATGTCAATACAGTACAAAAACTTGATTCCTACGTCTCAGGCCCAAGAAAGAAACCATCTATCATATTAGAACATCTGAAGGCGGGGAAATACCAACAGAATTTTCAATAAAGAAATTTATTTTTCTAAAGTTGACGGCACTGAGAAATAGGGTGATTTATTATGTTTTTATTTTATAACTTGAACGAGTTGAGTTTAAAATATTTTAAATTGGACTCTTCAATTCATCAATTCAGACATTATATTAGATAAAAATGGCCCAATCGGGATAGATTTAAAAAGATTTTAAAAATAATTTTGTATAACTGCTGTTTCCACAATCCATCCACCTACCACAATCGTATCCTCTTGATGCTTCCACTTGCCCTCAACTACCACACTCCCAATTTGTTTAAAGTTTGAACAACGACCCCCTCTACCACACTCTGTACGAACAATGAACCCCCCCCCACGAACACACACCCGCCATACCGCACTGTTCTTAATACCCCTCAACCCCTCCACCACATTCTCTCTGGTTTTGTTCAACCTTCCACCAACTATACACTCTCTTTGTTCAAAGTTTGAACAATGCCCAAAGCACCTCTACCACACTCGTCTTGAAAATAACCCTTCCACCCCACACTTACACTTTTACTTGAGAAATGACTTACACTCCCATAGAAAAATACCTCAACCCCACGACCTTTGCCATACTTTTAATAATACCCTATAAGTTCCTAAACCCTCTATTACACTCCAATCCCTTGAACAATTTGTCCAAACCGTATAAATCTCTACCCTTGAAGACTACCCCCATGTACCATTATATTCTGTATAAATGTATTTCCTGTGTCTAACTAACAATATCCATCCGTCTATATTAAGGTTTTCATTAGGTTTAGTATAATATCCATAATCCCTGAACTATAAAAAGAAGTTTGTATATGTAAGCATATAAATATGTATAAATTAACACTGTACAGAATTAACCATAAAGCATAAGGCTTCAAACATGACTGTCCGTAATTTTTGCAGACTTCTTTCTTGGTCTCATGGCTTCTTTAAGCTAGATAAATAAGTAGCCAAATCAGCACAGCATAAAAGGCAATATGCATTGCAGGAAACAAATTTATCTTTTAGATCGATATAATCAAGGGTTTTCATGTTGCCATGAAAGTCTGAATCTTTGTAAGTAACCCTGTATTGTATTGATGTTTTCCACAGAATAGAAATAAGGTGTTTTATAAAAACAACAAGACGAATTAAAGATATCTTTACTACACAATGTTCATTATAGGTTGCAGGGTTACCCACAATGAATGAGTCTTCAGAGACAACTTCATGAGATATATTTATTCTTTTATTTGAAATAAAGGTTTTCTTATGTTCTTTCTTTTTTTGCCAAATAATTTAATACTACATCTGATGACTAGATTTACAAAATGGGACTAAATTCATTATTTAATTATCAGAATGTGTTATTCTATAGATTTTCAGGTCAATGTTATAACAAAGTATCATCCATCGTTGGTACATTTTATGAAATATGTTTATTTGATAATAATTATTAATTTTAGCTAAAATCTTTATTTCAGCTGATAAAATCCATTTCTTACTTGTATGTTTAAAGGGACTGTAAGTGTAATTTCAAGTTCAAAGCTGGAAATGCCCTTAAAAGTCTGTCAGATCAAGTATGGCTTGGATATCAACGTTTATAATTTTAAAAACTGATTATATTCGATGGGGATTTCTCTAAATGAGTGATTTTTGTATTTCTAATAGAAGAAATCATATTTGAATTATCATAATTAAACACTTTCAAACCATAGAAAAACGATCATATCTTTCACATTATTGATCTTATAAGTTTCAAAGGTTCTGTTGTGAATCAGGCATTGCCATCTTTGTATTAAGGGTCAGTTAAAACTACAATGACAGTCTCTTTAATAAAAGAAAATAAAAGTTTTATCCTTGCAAGATAATCATATATTTTTCTTTTTAGATTTTACAGCTGTCATCAAAATTGCCAAATATGAAGCCTACTTCCAGCGAGCTAAACATCAAATCATCAAATAAGCGATCCAAAAATCCTTTTGTGGCAAAACAAAACAAAAAGAAAAGAAAATAAATAAATGAAAAAAACATCAAATAAAGATTTTTTTATCTATTTCTGCATTTAATTCTGTATTTCTAGAGTCAGTTTCTTATCATCATGCTGCAAGCTTTAAAACTTTTTCACTTTTTCATTAATTCTATCTTCATGAAAATGAAAATTAAAATTAAATTGTGTATATATCTATATAATGAAGCTCGAAGGTTTTTTTCGAAATTAAAATTTTTTTCTTCAAACTTCGAAATTTTTTTCCAAAGGGTTTTTTTAAATCCACGGGTAACGCCGGGCACTTCAACTGTTTATCTATATGATAGGTGATGGATTTTGAACTTTTTGGAAATCAGCTAACCGCCCGCCAGAGGTCCATATTAAACATATTGAAAAGGCTTTATGTCAAATTTTATCATACTAAACTGATAAACTTTTTCTGATAGACCAATCTCAAATTTAAAAGACTACAAAGGCAAAGAAGATTTCAAAGGTTCAAATTTAAAATCAACGATTCTTTCCTTTATCTCTAACTTTGAATTGGGGGTTCAAATTTGAACTGGCATAAGGAAATTCAGCGACACAGGTCAAATTCATTAAATTTGGCCCCAGATTCTCTTTACCCTAAGTTTTTAAGAAATTATCAAAAGAATCGTGTTTTATTAATTATTAAATAACGACGACAACAAATTTAGTGAAAATTCTAAAGTAAACTAATTAGATGTTTAGGAACGTATTACTCAAAAGAAATTTGTTAATAAATCAATGTTAGAATCAATTATTTCCTTTTCATCATTATATTGAATTTCTTATTTTCTATGAATTTGTTCGCAGATTTCTTCAAATTCTTCAAGTGTCGACTTTACAATAAAAATTTCAGAAAATCTGCAGTAAATCTTTGTGAATAATGAGAAATTATAGAAACTAATAATTGAATGATATTACTTATTTTCGATGATAAGAGTCAATTTTTATTTTGTCAACCTTATCCTAAACAACTAATTAGTTTACTGCAGAAATTTGTTTACATTTTTGTCGTCGTTATATAAAATATATATAAAAATATACGTCGTAGAAACGTTTTATATGTCTCAAATATGTCCAAAATACTACACATTCAGTTCAACCACCATACATTGCCGGTCACTCCCTTTAGTGCATAGATTAATAGCAATGCAGATAGAACACTAGATATCGTCTTTTCAAAATTTAGGGGTTCGGAATGACCCTAAGGCATGCTCTCTCTCTGTCTTGTAATTCAACTTGGCATGGGCGGAACTCCTTTTGCTTCTACCTCATGGTTATTGTGAACTAAATCCCATAAATCTTGAAAAGACGACATCTAGCGTTATATCTGTATTGTAATTAATTTATGGTTTAATGATTGTCCAGAATTGGTCAGAATTGTTTATTGGAATAAATCTCGTAAATGACGTGAACTGATGTTTTGGAAAACAGTCCGTTAAATAATCCTCCCTTTTTTACTTTCAAAACAGTCCGTTAAATAATCCTCCCTTTTTTACTTTTAAAACAGTCCGTTAAATAATCCTCCCTTTTTTACTTTTAAAAATTGCTGACAAACTTGTTTCTTAATAGTCACGTAAAATGTCTTTTTACCAAGCTATATATTCTCATAAACCAAGATGAACCGGCCTTAATCTTGTATTTGATAAACGTCTTTGGTTTAAAGGGATAGTATGAATTTAAGTGACTGCTCACGGGCAGCCGTAGCACATTTGAATTTCCAAGCCGGGTCAACCTTTCCGGTCCCAGTTTTTACTGTACCTAGCTCTATGGACAGGACTAGCCGATGCAACAAGGTTGACGCGGTCAGACTATATGCTTCATAAAGGTTGAATTTACTTTACATAAAGAAGCAGAGGTCCGTGTGCTAACGTAATTTCCGGTGACTCTCCATGCATAGGGGGGTAATGCACGGTACCCTTGAAACATTTATCTGATTAAACATGTTGAAGATAATGTCGTTTTCTGACTCAACAAGTATTTATTTTGAGAATTTCTCCAGTGTTTCTTACAAGCAAGAAATATGCAAAGTCACTTTTGCAGAGAAAGCACAAATGAAAATAAACAATTAAAAGAAATAAAAACATGGATATCTAAATCATACTTGACTATAACACAACGCTTTAAAGGAAAATGCCATGTTTTCATTAGGCTTACAGTTCTCTTCAAGATGAGAGTTTAGAGAAAACTTTTTGAAATTTCTTAGCTTTTTACGTGTATTATTCCTCGTTTTGCTATTTCTAACATTTGTCCTTTACAACATAAGCAATTCATTTTAACCTTAAACTTTACACTGTTGTCTCATAAAAAATGACGGAATTTTTAATGCAGCAGAGACGAGGAAAGACATTTATCAAATTTAATCTTTTCCAGACAGAAAAACATCAATATTTTCCTTATTGTTGAAGCGTTAAAAAAATATAGGGTATAGTTTCGGTATCAGGCATTTATCGCTTTAAAATCTTGTAACTTGTAAAATATTGCCAGTACGTATGTCTGTATACCTATCCTACGATCTAAAGTAAAGAAATAAATATGTAAGTTTCTTAATAATATGTTCCTTTCCTTTCATTTAAACCTTTCAACTTCAAATTACGTCGACAGTCTCTTTAAGAGGTTTAAAGTCCAGAGGCAGAATCTAAAGAATTTGAGCTGCAGCTTAAATTTAAGCAGCGGCTTAAATATGGTTTGTTTCACTTAAAATTGTATCAAATGTTTCAAGATTTAAGCCGGCACTTAATTTAAACCGGGTTTTGGCAGATTTCAGCCGCGGCTCAAATTCCTTAAATTCGGCCTCTGAATATTGATATTATCCCTTCTTAAATCAGCCTAGGAGCCTAGGAATGTCCTTTTAAACAATATAAACCATTTTCCACGAATTCAGGATTTCAAAAACGTAAAGTCTTAAATTCTTCAGAAAATGTCCAATTCACGAAAAAGTTTTGCGTATTGTCAATTGTCATTTAAAAATTTAAGATTTAAAAAATAAGTGGCATTTGACTTTATGGTATATATAACATTTTGAAATAATTAAAATTTTGTTCGAAGAATTTGGATGACAACCCCGAGATATACATGGTGTCCAACGAAACATGACAGTTGGTGAATAGTTTAAAATGCCTTCTTCCTTAGTTTTTCAGTTGTTTAATACCAAAGAGAATAATAAAAATTTATTTCAACGTAACATACATTTGATTGAAATAACTGTCAGAAGTCTTCATTATTTCATACTGTATGAGGAAAAGACATTTAAAACTATTTACCAACTGTCATGTTTCGTGGGACACTTCGTATCTCTAGGTTTGCTTTTATTCCACATAGCAAAATTTTTACTCTGGTCAAAGATATTATTGACCAAAACGATTTTTCAAAACGGAAAACGGAAATCGATTTTACAAATCGTTTAGAAAATTCGTTTTGAAAAATTGTTTTGAAAATTCGTTTCGAAAAATCGGTTTGAAAATTCGTTTTGAAAAACCGTTTTGGTCAATATCTTTAATCAGAGTAAATATTTAGCTGTGTGCAATAAAAGCAAACTTGTCTAGGAGCAATGTTAAAATAGGATTTGTATATCAGGATCTTGTGAAGCCTTGAAAAAGCGTAAAAACTTTGAATATTTTAAAATCGGCATGAAAACGATACTCTTCAGTACTCTAACATATCCGTGACGTTAGTTTTTGGATCGTTTTTGGGTCGTTTTGTTAATGCATATTTTATCTGGCAGGGTCAAAATTAGACATAGTGTAAGAAAGCAATGTTTGAATACATTTTTTATGACAATTGCTCCTTTTACACTATGAAAAATGTAAACCCTGATAGAAACAAAATAGACAAAATGACCCGAAAACATACAAACTAACTAAGGTTTCTCAAGTCGGGCTGGTACCATATCCCATCTCATTATCCTTATTTCCTTCTTATATCACAAATTGGTGAATGACATTTTAAGTTTTGAGATTTTTTTCTGAATTGTCATTGTAACTATGTGAAATATCCAGCTGTAGATAAACACTTTTAAACTTCTAGTGTGATTCCCCTTTTTACATCCGTTATATCGAGAACATGTCTAGCTGGGGGTCTATTTATCTTTCTGAGAGTCTATCTATCTGTCTGAGAGTCTATCTATCTGTCTGAGAGTCTATCTTTCTGTCTGGGGGTCTATCTATCTGTCTGAGAGTCTATCTATCTGTCTAAGAGTCTATCTTTCTGTCTAAGATTCTATCTATCTGTCTAAGAGTCTATCTATCTGTCTGAGAGTCTATCTATCTGTCTGAGAGCCTATCTATCTGTCTAAGAGTCTATCTATCTGTCTGGGAGTCTATCTATCTTTCTGAGATTCTATCTATCTGTCTGAGAGTCTATCTGTCTGTCTGAGAGTCTTTCTATCTGTCTGGGAGTCTATCTATCTGTCTAAGAGTCTAAGTCTGGGGGTCTATCTATCTGTCTAAGAGTCTATCTATCTGTCTGGGGGTATATCTATCTGTCTGGGGGTCTATCTATCTGTCTGAGAGTCTATCTATCCGTCTGAGAGTCTATCAATCTGTCTGGGAGTCTGTCTATCTGTCTGAGATTCTATCTATCTGTCTGAGAGTCTATCTGTCTGTCTAAGAGTCTATCTAGCTGTCTGGGGGTATATCTATCTGTCTGGGGGTCTATCTATCTGTCTGAGAGTCTATCTATCCGTCTGAGAGTCTATTTATCAGTCTGAGAGTCTATCTATCTGTCTGAGAGTCTATCTTTCTGTCTGAGATTCTATCTATCTGTCGGAAAGTCTATCTATCTGTCTGGGGGTCTATCTATCTGTCTAAGAGTCTATCTATTTGTCTGGGGATATATATATCTGTCTGGGGGTCTATCTATCTGTCTGAGAGTCTATCTATCCGTCTGAGAGTCTATCTATCTGTCTGAGAGTCTATCTATTTGTCTGAGATTCTATCTATCTGTCTGAGAGTCTATCTATCTGTCGGAGAGTCTTTCTATCTATCTGGGAGTCTATCTATCTGTCTAAGAGTCTATCTAGCTGTCTGGGGGTATATCTATCTGTCTGGGGGTCTATCTATCCGTCTGAGAGTCTATCTATCAGTCTGAGAGTCTATCTATATGTCTGAGAGTCTATCTATCTGTCTGAGATTCTATCTATCTGTCTGAGAGTCTATCTATCTGTCTGAGAGTCTATCTATCTGTCTGAGAGTCTATCTATCTGTCTGGGAGTCTATCTAACGGTCTGGGAGTGTATCTATCTGTATGGGTGTCTTTCTATCTGTTTGAGTATCTACCTGGGTGTCTATGATGTGTCTCTCTGCGTCCATATCTATCTGTCTATGTGTATATCTATCTGTTTATATGTCATTCTAACTGTCTGGGTGTCTTTCTATTTTTCTGGGTGTCTAACTGGCTGTCTGTCCATCTTTCTTGGATGTCTACTAAACTGGCTAAAAATCGTCTGGGTTTCTATACCACTCTTTACTAAAACTCGCTATTTCTTCGGTCAGAGTTTTAGGGATCACTACAGTTCGCGCCGAAAGCTATAGTTTACCTATCTGTCTGGGTGTATACCTATCTGTCTGGTTGTCTATACCTAAGTGTCTGGTTGTCTATACCTATACTGTCTGGTTGCCTATACCTATTTGTCTGGGTGGCTCAGTTTCATTTGCCATAAATATTTTTGCCATAATTACATTTGCCATAATACATTTGCCATAAGTAACACTTGCCATAAGTCACACATGCCATAAGTCACACTTGCCATAAATTACACTTTCCATAATGGTGTTACACGTGCCATAATTACACTTGCTATAATTACTCTTGCCAGAATTAAAATTAAATTTGGTTTGAATTAACAAACATATATTTATATTTTTTTACAATTACAAATTGAATACAGATTACAAATCTAATGCAGAGCCAGTTTATGAGCTACCAGGTTTAGGTACTCTTCTACGGGTAGAGTATTATAGAATAATGTTAGCAATCCTCTCATAGGTTTGAGGAAGAAATTCGGGTTCGAATTCTAGCTGAGCACATTTTAACCGAACATTTCGAATATTTCACTTCTGTAAACGAGGTATTGGCTACATAGGTGTAGTTCTTGCTGTCTCGAACCATCGGTTTACCTTTACTTGTGGTCTTGTGGTCTATCAGCCCAATTTTAGTTAAAGCTCAAATAGAAAAAAATAACAAAGATTTTTTAAAAAAGGCGCCAAGCGCTCAAACTTTGATATGTTCTAATTTATTGGGATTGTTTTTTCCTCGGCTGAGTTGGTTTAATAAAGTCAAGGTTGAGCGTACATTTACAGTACAGTTTAATGAAGAAGGAGGAAAGGCACCCCGTTCCTCGTCCGGTTGAAAATTATGTTTTTAAGATGTATATTTTAAATGAAAAATGCCGGAATGGCCGGAATACAAAAAGGTGTCTCCGGCGCTCTGTACATTTTGTGACGTTATTAGCGAATGGATGCAGTGTGCCTTCCCTCCCTCGTTCAGTATAACACAATAAACAGCTCTGTTATTAAAACACGCTTGTCATACTTTTTAGAAAGATTGTTTTGAAGGAGATAAATTGTTATATAATCAACGAAATGAATTCAGTTTGAAAGGTTTGGTTGGTTGCTGAACATCTCGGAGATCCACCCTTACTAGATACCATGGTAAACATTAGACTAAACATAACGAAAATTTTGTCCGACATTTTGAAGAGAATGTTAAGGATATCTCACTAATTTTCATATAGTGATGACCAAAATTTTTCTGAAATAGGAAGACGACATTACATTGATACTATAATTGATGTTGTTACAAAGCAAATAATTTCACTAGTAACTTATTAGGTCACTAATTATGTGAAATGGGTCTGTTTACAAAACTATTGGACTACAGGGTGTCCCACATCAAATTAGACCGCGTCAATGGGTCTAAATTACGATTTGGGGGATAAATCAGAAAATTTAAGAAGAGTGAATCATTTAAAAAAATTTAATAAGGCTAATAGAATTTTTTTTTTGCAGAAAATGCTAGATTTTTTAGTATTATGTGCGTATTTTGGCGTTAAAGATTGGAGATAATCTAATATGATATGGGACGCTCTGTATGTAAACTAATAACTTGAGTCTTAAAGTTGTCTTCCTATTTCAGAGTTTTCTGGTTATCTATCAATCAATTCATAATTTCAATGTTAGATAAATATAAGGAACAAAATATCAGGAGTGAACAATTAGAAAATATCATATTTATGATGAAAAATGTGGCAGGAACAATATTTAACTGTGAAGGAAGTAAAAAATTCAAAATGTCAACGCATTCAAGCAAAACAATTAATAATATGAAAATATTATAGCTTTTGTAAACACTCATACATTTCTGAAAAGACCTGGCCACAGTGCTCAGCCCCCTATAGTATTTCCTAGCCACAGCGCTCAGCCCCCTATTGTATTTCCTAGCCACAGCGCTCAGCCCCCTATTGTATTTCCTAGCCACAGCGCTCAGCCCCCTATAGTATTTCCTAGCCACAGTGCTCAGCCCCCTATAGTACTTCCTAGCCATAGCGTTCAGCCCCTTAAAGTATTTCCTAGCCACAGCGCTCAGCTCCTTATAGTATTTTCTAGCCACAGCGCTCAGTCCCCTATAGTATTTCCTAGCCACAGCGCTCAGCTCCCTATAGCATTTCCTAGCCACAGCGCTCAGCTCCCTATAGTATTTCCTAGCCACAGCGCTCAGTCCCCTATAGTATTTCCTAGCCACAGTGCTCAGCCCCCTATAGTATTTCCTAGCCACAGCGCTCAGTCCCCTAAAGTATTTCCTAGTCACAGCACTCAGCCCCCTATAGTATTTCCTAGCCACAGCGCTCAGCCCCCTATAGTATTTCCTAGCCACAGCGCTCAGCTCCCTATAGTATTTCCTAGCCACAGCGCTCAGCCTCCTATTGTATTTCCTAGCCAACCTCATGGTTTACACGTAATTATTTGATTAGAATTTGTTGTTCGGTCTGCTGGTGATCCTAACAATCAAGCTGCAGTACTGTATGGCAACGACAACAACAAACTTAGGAACAACAGAGATGTGTTGATATACAAAAAAAACAGCAACGACCATTATGGTCTTATTGGCTTGCTTGATTGAGTTGGGCAAAACAGGCACAGCGTTTATCCATATTATTAAGTTATGTTTATGATGTTCCACAAAAATATTTATATTTTGTGTGATCTAGAAAATAGCTTCCAAAAAAATACTCGGACAAAAAAAATGAAAAAAAAAACATTAGCACTGTTTCCTTTACCTGTAGTTAGGGTTGTTAATCGTTTTTCGTTTCGTTTTTATTTTTTCTAAAAACGATCGTTTTCTTTGTCGTTTTTAAAAGGAAACCGTTGTTTATCAAAAAAGTGGAAACGATCCATCCCTACCTGCAATATATTTTAGCGCTATATAAAAATAACAATTTTTAATTTCAAAGATGTTTGTCATTTCTGGATTTTATAAAGAAACAATATTTTAATTTCTTATTACAATCTTTCCTAGCTGAGGCCACATTAGTTATTAAAAAAACTGGCCCCGATGACGTTTAGATATTGAATACAAGGAAGAAAAACGTACAAACAGGCCAGACATATAAATAGATTTTCTTTTTTACTAGTTTATGGGATTTTCTAAATGATATGATCCAATTTTTTTGTGGAGCTTAAGAAGATTTTAAAGTTAAAAGTTATAAATTATATGTACTGAGTTAACCAAAAAGGATAAGACGTCAGAGACGACTTTTCTGCCTGTTTCCTAATTATTATGAGTGTTTGCAGCTGTTTTTCTCTTTGCTAAATCATTAAATACTTCATTTATAAACTTTATCTAAGGAAGAAGATATAATTTAATCATGATATTGTCATATTTTAGAGTTTCAGGCCGTCTTTACATTCTCATCCTTTGTGGGTATCCCTGTACNCCGACCCTCACACAAACCTCATTTGTATCCGATACATCTTCCAATAATTAATAAACTGTCATCCCATAGTGCAAAACTTTTTAGTTTTTCCGCATTTAGAAAAATAAATAAATCTTTAATGAAAAAAAACTTTCTAGAAAGCCCCAAACATACAAATAAATGAATGGATAAAATTTCTCTACAAACTTCTTTAGTAACTTGATAAAAATGTATATCTACATAGTTACATACAAAAGAATTAGACTTCAGAAACGACTGTACTGAATTTGTTCTGTTTGTTTCTTTTTAGTCATGGTTCACTTCTTTCTTTCTTTACTAAATCAATAAATACTATTTAAGGTAGAAGACTTAAAGGCCAAAGGGACAGACCGGCTATGTAAGGTAGTTAAACTGAGTATGCAGTGTCGTGGACAAATTCTTTAGGAATTATTTGAGACATATATTAAACTTTTCCACGATGTTTAATTAATAAGTTTGAGTGCATAGTCGACGCTCAAATTCTTTCATTTGTGTGGGTACGTGTTCAGAATCGGTTTTTTTCAAATTATTAAATAACGAAGACGAGAAATAAAGTAAAAATTATACAGTAAACTAATTAGATGGTTCGTTACATATTTCTCACACGAAATTGGTCAATACATCAATGCTAGAACTAGTTATTTCGTTTTCATCATTATATTGAATTTCTTATTTTCTATGAATTTATTTGCAGATTTTTACAAATTCTTCAAATGCCGTCTTTTCAATAATAATTCCATTCTGCAGAAAATCTTTCTGAATAATGAGAAACCAGAATAATGAGAAAATAGAAACTAATAATTGAACAAAATTATTTATTTTCGATGATAGGATTAATTTTTATTTTCTCAACCGGTTCCGAAACAACTAATTAGTTCACTGTAGAATTTTGTTTACACTTTTGTCGTCGTTATTTAATAATCAAGAAAACAATTCTGAAAACTTATCCACCCAAAAGTACGATTTTGAACTCAAACTCAGGATTTACAGATCTTTAAAAAGTTTCATATGTCTCAAATGAATCCTAAAGAATTTGACCACAACACTGCATACTCAGTTCAACTACCGTACATAGCCGGTCTGTCCCTTTAATTCAAACTTGGGATTGTCATATTAAAATAGCTTTTAGTCGTACCTGTAAACTTGTTTCTCTCTTTGCTCAATTATTAAATACGTCATTTATAAACTATATCTAAGGCAGAAGATATAATTTAACCATGATATTTTAAAAGTTTCAGCACGTCTTTACATTTTCATCCTTTATGAGTTCCCTGTATATATACGCATTTTGAAAGTGTTAGGCACGTCTTCCCGCAACCCCCGTGAAGGGAAAAGGGGGCAACAAAATCGCACTAAATCTTACAAATTCCATTTTTACTTGATCTTGCCCCTGCATGCCCTCCCCTTATCGGCTAAAATTCTGTGTATGCGCCTGCGCACTGAATGTTAACATTAAACAAATTGCTTCGGAGTGTCTTATAAAAAATAAAGATTCAAAGATTAACTTTAAACCCCATGCTATTTCTAAATGTCTGCAAAAATTAGTATCCGATATATGATTACAAAACTTATCTAAAAACCTTTTCGTATTGAAAACTTTAGACAGTGCTCAACGAGGGAAGGAAGGCCAGCCACATCGATTTATAGTCCGAACCACTGCATTCTCCTCAACTCGAAATCCTCGTCCTTCGATTTTTATGTGTTTTAAAGTTTCGAATTTTTGAAGTTTCTAATTTTTAAAATTCTGTCCACTTTTTTAAAGACATTGAACTCGAAAACTTTAATTCAATTAAAAAAAAATTTTCTAATAACAAAAATTTAATATTATATTTATGCCCTAACGTTGCCCGATTCTTAAAAAATACTTAATCTAAGAGGATTAGACACTTGGAAGAACGAGGATTTCGAGATGGCTCGGACGAGAAAATGAGAAGAATGTAGCTCGGCTAGAAATTGTTGTGACTCCTTCCTCCCCTCGCTCAACTAATCCTAAAGTTATGTTTTTCTTTGTTTATGTTTTTTCTTTTTTTTATGTTTTTTCTTTTTTTTATGTTTTTTCCCACATTCCGCAAAAGTTAATCCCCTCCCCCGCTATAGCCTTTCTCAGTGTTATGTTTCCTTTTCTTTTCAGAAACAACTTGATAAATTGTAAACACTTTTCAAGTTAGAAAAACAACGACATTTTTCACTTTATCGATCAGATGAAGGTTTAAAGGTTTCTCCTTTAATCAGTGGGTTATCTTCTATAAAATAAAACAAGACATTCGTATTTGTATATTTTAAGTATAGGCGGCCAATCGGCTGGACCGATTGGGCTGAAATTTTTTGTGGACACTCATGGGTGGCCGGGGGGTGTCCTAGACGAAAAAAATTATAAATTTTTATTTTTTCAAATTTTTTTCTTCAATTTTTTATTCCTATAAAGCCCTATAAATTATATTTATTTCATTTTCTCTGTTTGGCAGATGAAATTGTGTTCAAAGTAAACACTAATAAATATGCACATCAAATAGGTAAAATACTACTATTTATACAGTTTTTAAATTTATATTTTTTACATTTTCAACATTTTTAAGTCATTTTTTTGTTTAGTTTATTTTCCCTTATACATGATTTTCGATATTTTTCTGTACGTGCAATGTATTAAATATTTTCTTTTTTTCTGTTTTTTCAATTTTTTCAACTTTATTTTCTATATTTTTTATATTTTTTTATATTTTCTATATTTTCTCTATATATTCAGCTAGGCGAAGTATTGATTCTGGAAGTTTATCTAATTCTGGTGATTTAATCAAAGGAGTAGGTAAACAGTTTAATCAAACATCTATTTACTTGCCTCTAAATATGTTTTTTCAATCTGTTGGTGTAATCCTTTTATATTTAAAACTCATGACAATTTGATCTGTAGAAATATAAAATTCTGAAAAAGAATCTGATTAAAAATTACATTTCTAATTTCGAAATCTTTGCAATCTGATGGTGTAAACTTTTGATCTATTTAACTTCGACAGTTTGATTTTTTCTTATACCACATCAGGTTGCGAAGATTTCAGGATTAGAAAGTAGAGTTTGAAGTTTTCCAGCAGTTCCTTTTTATATTCTTATTACACTTTAATTTACGATATCTAATGAAATTGAAATTTGAGTTTTTCTATCAAATTCAATTATTGAAGTTCTAAAATTAAGTTTTAGTCACAAAAATATTCATTTTCTTTATGTGTAATCCATATCAGTAAAATCGTCTTTTTAAAAAGTCGCGATAAAATTATTAATAATATTCTGTAAGCCCTTTGAATTCTTCTAAGCGATGGCCTGAGTTAAAGAATGCATTGAGATTATCAAAAACTATATAAAGGGTTCCCCACCAAATTTGACAGTTAGTAAAAACTTTTGAATGTCTTCTTCCATACACTGTATAAAATTTTTAACGACTTATTGCAGTTTATTTAGTTAAACAAATTTTCAAACAAACATATTATACTTTGAAATCAATTCTTATAATTATTATATTATTATAATATTATAATTATAGAACAACTTAAATTATGGAAGGAGACATTTTAAACTATTCACCAACTGTCACTCTACCTACCTACCTAGGTCAGGGTAGTTTTATAGATTATTGTACCGAAAGTTCAAAACCGGGAAATGAACAATTTTTTAAAGGAAACCATCCTTGATCTGACAACGCTTTTTAGAGTACCATTGTAAATCGGACAAGCCACTCAAAAGATAAAACCGAAACGTAACTTAAAATTGAGTTTGCAGTCCCTTTGAATTAAAAATCTACGAAATATTAAGAACAAATGCGGACTTTATCTCTATTAATTTGAAAAGTTGGATTAGGATATTGTGTAGTTAGATACTGAAATATTAGTAAAATACTGTACCAATTAATTTTAGAAATATAATAGTTGCAACAGTTGAAAATTACAAAAATGTGTAAGTAAAAGGAATAATAAAGTTCTAGTTGTATTAATTTAGAGTGGAATTTACTCGAAAAAGGTGTAAAACGGCCATTTTGTTGTACTGTTTCCATACTCCAGGTGTACTTCACATATTTGCGCAATATAACCTTTTGGGCCCTAGACCATCATTTTATAAAAAAGCTAAAATTAATATTAAAAGAAAACCAAACTATGAAATAGGCTGGTTTCATAATAACCAATGATCATTTCACATAGACTCTATGCCTTTCACTTTACAAACGATGATTTTCCGTTTTAACTATAAATCAAATAATGTTTTTTATTCACCCAATTCATTTTATAAAGTTTATTTAACAGCTTTAAAAAATTCGAAATTGAAATGGATAGTCTAGGGAACATACTGTATTGATGTACTCTACTGCATATAATTTGTGAACATTTACATGATTTGTACACTTTGAACTCCCTTTCAGGCTGAAAAAGACTGAACAAATTCATACCGAGGGTTTTCTAAATTCCACTCTAATATATATTCTATTCTCTTTGCTTTTAACTTATAAATGATGTTCAGGTGATGTTGTGAATGCAGTTGGGAAGAGTGGGGAAACTCTCATTGATTCAGTGCGCAAGTATAAAAACAAAACATTAAAAACACGTTTTTCACAATCTGTCTTAACAGAATATCGACAGAGTGGAAAATTAAGTATAGTTTTACTTAATATCGGTTTGCTAAGTTTTCGTGAATTTCAAAAGATAAAACTCTGGAAAAGGATGCCAACTCAAGTGCTTTCAAAAAGTCCAATGAACACGAAAAATAGCAATTGCGTATTTTACACCGACCATTTTGCTTGATGACAAGATCAAAAACACATTAAATTGTTTTAATGTCGTCTTCCTATTCCATTAAGTGTTATTCTTTTCACATGTAGCCTAAACATATTATGCAGTAATCAAATAATTTTTAACGGGATTGTTTAGAGAAGCTTATTCCTCACGACAATCTTTATTGTTCTAAATCTTGTATTTTACACCTTTGATATTTTAAACTCTGAATTAAGTTTAACTTATTAATTGTTTGAAATATCAAAGGTTCACACCATCAGGTTGCCAAGATACGGTATTAGAACATTTGAATTTGCTAAAAGATAATTGTAATCTTACGTTTATAATATTATCATTAATTAGAAACCGAATAAATGTCATTAATAATCTTCAATTTTGATAGTCCCATGCCGTCTTCACATTTGAAGACGACGTGCATATCAACGATTTTTAATTTCAACTTTATTCATCATTCACGAATTAATCCAATAAAAGTTTAAGAAAAATTTTGCCTTTTTATCATTCTTTTGTTCAGAAGCAGTGCTCCTGTATTGGACGTAGTAGGAAATATCGTCAAAACGATCACAAGGTAAGCAATTTTATAATAAAAATCTGGTACAGTGAGAATCAGAAAACTGTAGAATATGAAGACAATAATAGAGCAATCTTTTTCTGTATTTTATGACTTTAAAAAGCAAAAAGTCTTACTAGTAGCTCACAATATTTTGTTAAGTGAAATGGGTCTGTTTACAATAAATGATGCCGTGTTTAAACGGATTTACAACTATACCCTGAAAACTTTTGTTTGATCAAGGATTTCGTAGATATTTTCATTTATACAGGGGGAAGAAGAAACCGCGCGAATGTACACTAGCACGAAGTGTACAGTGTACACTGTACAGTGAACACCTTACACTGTAACCTAAAGTTTCCCTACACTCAAACATCAGCTATACGAATGAGGGTATCTATCTACCTCATTGTTGTCCTGGCGCAGTATTAAAGGGAATGGGTATTGTTTTAAATACAAATAGAGGGTCACCTGTACTTACGCTTCTAGTCCCTTTATTGGTTCGACTGAGTACATCCTTTAGTCCAATTATGGAACAGATGTATTGTTGGATATTACCACATGCCAGGTCTATCTATTTTTGGAATTAAATTCAAATTATATTGAAATCAATATGTTTTTAGCTCTGATTTCATCAAACAGTCCGTCGCCGTTAAACAAAATGTTATCTCAAACATTGGAAATACAGGTATAAACCATAGATTAATGACAATACAGATAGAACACTTTATGTCGTCTTTTCAAGATTTAGGGGTATTTCGTTCACAACAAACAGCTGAGTCAGAAGCCAAAAGAAATACGCGCATTCTGCGTTGAATGACAAGATAGAGAGTATGCGCGTAACTCCTTTGGCCTTCTTTCTCAGGGTTATTGTGAACGAAAAACCCCCTAAATCTTGAAAGACGACATCTAGTCTTCTATCTGTATTATTATTAATTATAATTATGGTATAAACGTTATGAATAAGATTTTGAATTAAAAAGATATTTCATTCTACATGTTAACTAACTGACACATCTGAAGTTAAAAGGAACTGATTTTTTTTCGTCAAACTCAAATTTTATCTTTGCAACCTGAAGCGTGATGGTGTAAACCATGGATATTTTAAGTTTAGACTTTTTGATCCGAAACAGTTCATAATATAACATATTTTAAGTTTACAACATATTGTGATTAGAAAATAAGAATTTGTGGACTCAATTCCTTAAGAAATTTATATTTTTAAATCATACATAATAATCCTAGCATTTTTAAAAAATTTTAGTTGCAGCTGTAAATAGTTTGGCTGGAACAGGGGGTAAATTAGTAGAGGTGAGTAGAATGAATCATAAATATAAGAACAAAAATATAAATCTGTGTATCAAAAGTTGGACAAGTTGGCAGATTAAACTTTTTCTTTTTGCAGAAATGTAAAAGGAACTGAACACTCGTAAAAATCATATTAGTCGAGTTCAGACGAATAGGACTCAAGTTTTGATTTTCGAGAGTTTAATGATAAGTAGATTTTCAAGCAACTGGCAAAACATATAATACTTAAAAGTCGTCTTCCGATTCCACCGTGATGTGGGTTTTACCTGTGTATTTAGTTAAGACAGTTTACAATTTACATATATTCGGGAGAGAAAGATAAATGTCTAAAAAGAGAGAATAAATCTTTCTCCAATTGTGCTTTTATCTACTTACTTGCAATATATACTATGCATTGTGCAGTCGTAAAAAGGATGGAAGATGCAGGGTTACCCGCAAAGAATGAGACTCGACAACTTTAAGTTTGTAAATCTAATGCTTAATGGTTGAACTTTAGCTTTTGCCTTAAAGGAAGTCTTTAATAATATAATATGTGATTTGTCAATGAAAGAACAGACTTAAAGCTATAGTAAGCCACGGATTGTAAAGAAAAAGGATTAAAACAATTCTGTGAAATTGTCTCTAAGTCTTATATTTTGTGGGTAACCCTATAATCTAAGCCAAAATAAATTAGGCCGAATTTTTGAAAGACAAAATTTCTCTTGTTGTTGCTGCCATAAATAAAAAACTATTTTATCTTGCTGAAAAAAAAATTGAAATTAATTGTCATACAGCTCGTTTTTCGTTTTTATAAAAAAACTATCATTTTTAAAGAACGATCGTTTTTCTTTTCTTGAAAGTTCAAATCAAGTGGTTCGTTCTAAAAAACGATAGTCTTTTTTCCAAAAACGAAAAAAATTGGTTTTTGAAAAAAAAAATTTTAAAAAAATGAAAAACGATCGTTCTTATAAATGATTAACAAACCTTCTTCCAAGAGCATGTTAAAGGAATCGGACTGCTGAATGAAGGTTCCTTTTTAACTTTTTTGATCAGTAATGTGAAATATATCGTCGTTTTTGGCTCAAAAAATCTCATTCATTGTGACATGCCACATTATGATTGAAGGGTTAATTTTACTTTCGTATACAGACTCTTTAACAAAAAAATAAGTTGGCATCTCAAATAATTTATTCTCTTGATATTATTTTGTGTTTTCAGGTTAAAATATCACTGGTTCGACAAGTCCTGTGTAAACTGGTTTGTCCTCTTCTACCTTCAGCAACCGATCAATCAAGATGTACCAGCAGTCATTGTAAATAGTTCACGGCATTTTTAAAATTTGCACTTTGCACATGTTTACTTGAAATAAACAATTAGAACATCTTTTGAGAAAATTATTAAGTCCCAAAATTAGTAAAAATTATAAACAATTTGAAGATATGCAATGTAGGGTTCTACAGTTTAACCCAGGACATCGGAGACATTGAAAGAATTTATAAAATGTCACCTTGACAATTTTTTAACGGGTTTTATACTTTAATACAGAAATCTTAGTGATTATAAAAATAAATAAATAGCCATGAAATGCGCGGGAACAGTTTTAAAGAGCTCCGTATAAATTTTCAATTAGAAAATTAAATATCTGCAGCATTCCATTTTAACCTTCCTGGACATGAACTCTACCATCTAAAAGTTAGCGTACTAGAGAAGGTTTGGGACCTCGGGAAAAATGAACAGAAAAAAAATTATTTTTATTTAATTGTAAACTGTAATTCAGTATTTTTTTTTAAAAAAAAGAGTATTGTTTATGTCCAAGTATTTTTAAGGTTTAAATACCCCTCCTTAAACCCACATCCCCCCCTCCCCTCGATTTACGTAAAAGTTCGTTAATTAGATCGAACCCGACCACCACTTTATACACATACAGGGTGTCCCACGAAACATGACATTTGGTGAATAGTTTTGAATGTCTTCTTCCATATTCTGTATTAGATATTCAGGACTTTTTGCAGTTAATTTAGTATAAAAAACTTCACTCAAATATATTTTATTTGGAAATCAATTTTACTATAATATGGATGCCATAAAATATTTATTATTAATATCTTTGTTAACAAAAAACTTGACATATCATGGAAGAAGACATTTAAAACTATTTACCAACTGTCATGTTTCGTGGGACACCCTGTATATACCATCTCAAGGAATAATAATTGTCTTAAAACATTTTCTAAAAAGTGAATATTTTAAGATTATCTTTTTTCCATCTCATGATCTGAGTTCGTTTCCCTTTTGTCTATTTACAACCCCATTTTTTTAAATAATCTTTTTTATTTTTATTTTCTTGTGGTTTTTAACAATTTTTTTTATCGATTTTGATGGTTATTGCATCGTTAGAACTGACGAGGGTCAACCCAGATCGAAATATATCTATATAATAAAACAAGACATTCGTATAAATAAATGTTGCGTATAGCCGGCCAAACTGCTGGACCGATTGGGCTGAAATTTGTTGTGGACACTCATAAGAATGAAGTGTTTAATTGGTTTTAAGACAATCTTCTGAAATGTATCTGGATCCGCTCTTGGGTCAACTGTTACCGGAAGCCCGTGTATACCATTTACAGTCACCAAACCCTGGATGGATAATGGTTGCAATGATGGTGAGGGGTTCTTTGTCTGTTTAGCATTGTAACCATGAGAAGTATTGATAGGTCCCCTTTTCGTACCCATAGGGTTGACATTTGACTGGAATTGAAGTGTATGCATGCCCTCAGTAGTATGTAACATTGGTAGTTGAAGGGATAGCCTCCTGATCTGTGTGCCTTGAGCTCTGTGCTGCTGATGGTAATTAACATGTCCTGAATTTCTTGGAAACATGATGTCTCTGCTGATATTCTGCATTTCAACGGCCTTTGAAGCATTTAAAGCAGTTTCTTGAATCCTGTGTTCTTTGATCTTTTTAACCCTGATATCTTCAGTTGAAAATGATCTTTTTAGCTTCGATTTAAATTTGACATGTTGATCTTGTCTCTTACCAGAATTTCTTATTTCTCCTGCATTTGCTGACTTCTGTACAGAGGGCGTAGTGCGTTTCATTTTCCTGAATAATCGAACTGAATAGATCACAATCTTGGCCACCTCCATTACAGTTGACAGAACAAGCAGTACTGTTAGGATTAAGAACTCAAAGCACTCTTCAGCCAGGTTTACATCTGTACTCTTATTTGTTGTTGATAAATTGGCATTTGAGTAGGAAATTCCAAACTCTATCCTTGTATGAGAGATACTGATGGTATTGTAATCTTTGGAGTGTGTAAGCAAACATCTGACATGATTGACCAGAAGATCTGTAATAGCTGTAAGGACAATAAATACTGCTGATAACTTTAAACAAGTACCTCTGTTGAGTCCTTGGTAGTAAGCAGGATTATAAATGAGCGTAAGGCGAGCTGTGGACAGTATGAACAGATAGCCACAAATACAGCATCCAAGTGGCAGGTTGTTCATCACATATTTAGCTATTTCTGGGTATTCATTATAGAATCTGCTCAAATCTGCATTGGTAGTGTTTGTGATTAAGCCAAGAGTTAGATATTGTATGATGGCAAGCTCTTCAGTGCACAAGAACTGAATACAAAGTCCTCCAAGAATTGTTTCTTGCTTTGCCAGGAATGTTTGAAGGATAATGCAGGATGCGAAGGAAAGACTGCAGCTAAATATATCTATAGCCAGACTGCCAGTGTATAATGGTTTGGATTGTTTGGTACTGATATTGTGATAATACAGTAGACGGTTGCAAAGAGGTAAATACAAAGTTTATTCCCTTGCATGGTTCCTTGATGACTTAAAAATGAAAAAATCTGCAACTTCAAATGAAATAAAATCTAGAAAATGTATTTGCTTGTTGCTGTGGTGGCTTTCTCTGCTCTTTTGTAGATTATCTTCATTCCCCTTCTCTCCGTATCTTCTCTTAGTGTAGTCAGAGAGAAAAAATCATTAAATTTAACAATTTGGTTAATTGTTTTCTCTGTTATGATTCAAATACTGCTAGGCAACATATAAAACGTATTTTAAATAGATGAATTTATCGATTTCAACCAGCTTATACAAGCTAATTCTTATTCTGAATAAAAACTAACCATTTTGAGGATGGATTAAAGTAATCAATAGAACATGCATGCTCTAGTTTAGATTTAATTCTAGTTCTAGCTCTAACTCCAGCTCTGATTTTATTTTGAGTTTTGGTTCTAGTTTAATACGATTGTTCTTTCACAAGAACGAACGGACACATCAAGAATGATCCCACCGTTCCAAAAAAAAAGAACGAACACATAGATTGGGTTCTTAAAAATATTGGAACGATTTGTAAATAGGGTTTCCAGTCGTAATTTCGTTACGCGTAATTACGCGTAACGAAACGTAACACTTTCTTTCACTTACGCAGGAGCATTACGCGTAATTACGCATATATTACGTTTATGAAAGAAAGTCTAGTTTCGCGTAATTACGCGAAATTACGTATTACGTAACAATTCCGTAATAAATAAAGTACATATTAATTCTCAGAAATGATTGACTGCTATTTTAAGGATTTTCTGTTATAATAATCTACATGGCACTTTTTCTGTTTTTTTTTGTTTACACTTTTCTACTTTCTAGTATTAACATAACAATTTAAGTACTTTAACTGATAATTTAACTGATAATTTTGGATTTTGACAAACATATTTTGATGATTTCTGCAAACAAGGAAGGTAAACTTGAGAAAGTAGGTTGAAATATAAACATTTATTGAAAATATGTATTTTTTTTGATGAAAATAAATTGTTGGCCCTTTGTTAAACTTTTCAGTTGTCGAACGTGAAAATTACATCAACATAGTATTGGCTGAAATTTCTGATTTAACTTGCCTGACATTATTTTCCTTGTAAGTTAGATGCTTTATTTAAATTAAAAGTAAACTTTAAAATTTCATAGACGTAATTATTGCAAAAGTTCGCAAAATTACTTTGTAGAAATTACGCGAAATTGAAGTTATGCTAATTACGCATAATTAATACAAAATTTCGCGAAATTACCTCATAGAAATTACGAGAAATTAGGCCGTAATCACGCGTAATTATATTTTCGCTTATTACGCGTAATCATTACGAAATTTCGCGAAATTACGTTGTAGAAATTACACGAAATTACGCCGTAATTTCGCGAAATGGATATTTCTTCAATTACGCGTAATCCTGCGAAATTACACGAAATGAAAATTATTACGCGTAACTGCACGTAATTACGAGTAAGAGAATAATCTATTACGTTGGAAACCCTATTTGTAAAGGAACAGAACGGAACGGAAAAATTTCAAAAGAACGTTTAAAATCAGGAACGGGTTCTTATTGTCAAGAACGCGTTCTAAGTCGAGAACGCATTTTAAATCAGGAATGTGTTTTAAAAATATGTTCTTTTAAACATATCTATGTTATTATCACGAGGCGTATTCAGGGGGGCTACGGGGGCTCATCCCCCTCCTGTATCACTGAAATATATGCTTTTTTGAGGGGGGGGGGGTTGCCCCCACCCTCTAAAAAGAAAAAGAAATCAAGCCCTTCCTTGGAAAAAAAAACCTGAATACGCATCTCTAAATATCTTTAAAACCTATGTCTAGTTCTCAACCACTCTTAGTCTTTAATCTGTCAAAATACAAAAGTGAAGACCACGAGATATATTTCGACAATCTTCATTTTTTGGTATCACAAATTGTGCATTCCTTTTTTTACAGATTATACATTCAGGCATTATTGTGCTGTCTGAAATTATTTATTGTGCAGCAAAATGGCTAAAATTTACTTCTGAAATCTGAATTTACGTTAATCTATATTTAAGTTAAATACATATTCTAAGTCTGTGTTTGTAAATAAAGGGAGTCCAGTTTCTATTGTACTGCGCACTCCGTACAGACCAATTTATACATCCATAAGCTAAAATACTTGGGACATAAAATGTCGTCATCCACTATGAGTTTGGCCCATTTTAGTATTTTATCCTTTTGATTATCTTTACCGAGTCCATAATGAACTAAAGTCATTCTTATAGATTTGGTGGAAAAATATTAAATATTAGAAAACTTTTCATTTCCCAATATCTCCACATTATATAAATGTTGGCCTCTGAAGAATTATGAGTTTTTGAATCCACAATGAAAGTTTAGAAGTTTAGATACAAGATGGGATGAAATGTCGTCTTCAACATAATAATTTCTAATTTTTTAGAATTGAATGGAAAAGATCGGATAGAATCCACAAAGTCTAATTCCTGTTACGACTAGAAATGGGCATCGTTTTTTTTGTGAACGAACGAAATTTTTTGCGAATAAAGGTGTTGTTCAG